ATGTAGATGGGAGCTCTACTATGAACGACTGTGGTGCAGGGGTTATATGTCAGTCCCCTGAAGGGGACAAGTATGAATATGCACTACGGTTCAAGTTTCAGGCCTTAAATAACGAGGTGGAATATGAAGCCCTGCTAGCCGGTATCCGCATGTGCAAGGCGGCAGGGGCAAGAAAAATTAACACCTGCTCTGATTCACAATTGGTCGTTAGCAAGTACCATGGTGACTATGAGGCCAACCATCCGACCATGATCAAATATTTGCAGGCGGTCAAAGAAGAGGCCGAGACACTTGATGGATTTAATCTAAGTCAGGTGCCCAGGTTAGAGAACAATCAAGCGGATGCTCTTTCTAAGCTGACATCATCCGCATCCTATGATACACCTCGGTCGGTCTTTTGGGAAGTAATGGAAAAGCGAAGTATTGAAGAAGATCCCATTGGAATACTAGACCGGAGTTCAACCTGGATGGATGGCATCTGGGCCTATTTACTAGACAACACTTTGTCGGATACATATCCAGAAATGGCTGCAATGAAAAAATGTGCGGCCAATTTTGAGATTCATAATGGAGAGCTTTTCAAGAAGGGTTTTCTGCAATCTCTTTCGAAATGAATCACCCCAGAAAGGGGGCAAGAGATTCTGGAAGACCTACACTCGGGCTTTTGTGCCTCCCACATAGGTGGCAGGACTCTAGCTGAAAGGGCTAGACGGAAAGGCTAATTCTAGCCCACTCTTAAGGCAGACGCCACGGAAATGGTGAAGAAGTGTGACAAATGTCAAAGATTCGGCAGACTCATACACCGTCCGGGCACTGATCTAACGGCCGTCCATAGCCTAGTACTGTTCGCCAAATGGGGCATGGGCATTCTGGGTCCATATACGCCTGCACCAGGCGGACGGCGCTATATTCTAGTTGCCGTTGACTACTTCACCAAGTGGGTAGAAGCAGAGGCGGTCAAAGGCATTAAGACAAAGGATGTCATCTCCTTCATCTAGAAGAATATCATCACCTGGTTTGGAATACCTATGTCTATGGTCTTTGACAATGGCCCACTTTGAGACGAAAACCCTTAAGAATTTGTTGGGAGACCAAGGGATCTCTCATTGCTTTACATCAGTCGGCCGTCCCCAAGCGAACGGCCAGGTTGAAGCCTTCAACAAGCTAATCTCATACGGCATTAAAAAGAAAATTGAAAGAGCTTGTGGTCTATGGGCGGATGAGTTGCCTCATGTCCTATGGGCCATCAGAACAACATGAAAAGGGGCAGCCGGCAAAACCCCATTTCTCATGGTTTATGGTTCTGAAGCTGTCTTGCCCATCGAACACTACGAGCCGACTCTTCGAGTCATGTTATATGATGAAGAGGCAAACTGGGAGGCCATGCGGCTAGCATTGGACATACTCCCGGAACGCAGGGGCAATGCCGCCTTGCCTCATGAGATTTACCGTCTGAGAATGATAAGAGCCTACAAGAGAAGAGTACACAATCGACCCTTAAAAGTTGGGGACTTTGTGCTTTGAAATATGGAAGCAATCAGTAGGGCCAATGAACAAGGCATTGACGCCCAATTGGGAAGGTCCTTACCGGATCTATGAAGAAGTAAGAGGCGGCACCTACCAGCTGGAAATTCCAGACGGCGGGAAGCTAGCTTGAACTTGGAATGTAGATAACTTAAAAAAGTACTACTTTTGAGACTTGTAAATTTTTTGTAAATAAAAAGCTTATCAATGAAAAGTGGCTTTTTATTGCTATACTAGATATGTCTCCCAATGGGAACATCGCCTGTGCAATGTGCAGGCGGATAAATCTATTCTAACCGTCTACTCCAACATGAGTATGACATTCGACAACATCCATTTGGGTGACTTCGTCGCAGAGAGCATCTCCCATTTGGGTGGTACATTGCTCAATAAACTTAAAAACAAACGGCCCTACCGAGTGTCTGGATTAAGATAAACTCGCAGCTGTTTGAATTGAACTATCTGACAAGAGACCTAAAAAGCTGAAAATTACCGCCTATTTTATAATAAATGGTAATCGGCTACTATCTTGGTTGGATACAACCTTATTTCGGTACGTACACCATTAAATGCCTGCTATTGCACAAGGGCAATGCAGGCGGCAAAATTTCAAATAATAAATATAAGCTAAGTCCAAAAACTTAGCAGCTAAGCATTGTTCATTTTAGAATGATCTGATGAGGTCAATGGCCGGATAATATTAAATGCTTATCCGCCTGCTAGATGGTCGACCGTCCGCTTGGTTTGGGGCAATCACCATAGTGATTGATTGACTTGGAAACCAATCATACTCTCTAAAGTATCAAAAATTTCCAAGTCAATCAATTCACCTTTGGAACCAAGTGCATAGCCGTCCAGGGGCAAAAACAACCGGTATAGTGAAAAAATTGCATAGAAAAAAGCAAGTTAAATACTTAGCTAAAATCTAAGCATATCAAAAATTCAAAGCAAGTGCAATATGACAAAACCGGACTCATAGTCGGATAATTTATTTATTAACTTAGCCGACCCCATGGTCGACTAAAAAAGAGTTAACCGGTACAACTGGCAAAAATTGTCAAGTTACCTGACCCCTTGGTCGGTAAAAGATACAGAGATACACGGCACGCAGGCCAGAGAATTAATAAATTGCCATTTGGTCGCAGAAACAAACAACAAGCTTAATTATCTCCTCAGTATCGACAACCGCATCCTCTTTCTCTCCAGTCGGATGCCGGTCATTTTCATCCTCCTACTCCTCCTCCTGATCAAACCCCCCGAATGACCCCCCAGTAGAGTCGGACTCCTCCTCCTCCTCCTTCTCCTCCACCTCCTCTTGGGATTTTCTCAGAAGCCTATCATTGAACTCAAGGGCGGTTGCTTCAAATTGATGCTTCCACCCGTCATAGTCAGTACCGGGGAAGAGGGACTCCCAATTCATCTGCATGATGGCCTCGCCGTTTATCATCTGCTTCACCAAGGCCTTCTTCTCCTCCTTGGCTCTTGAAGTATACTTCTTTCCGAGTTGGACCTCCTAGTTTTGCAGCCTCTTCTTGAGGTTCTCCACCTGGGTGCGGAGTCTATCTGCCTTATTGTTCGCCTCCTAGAGGGGCTCGAGCTTGGCCTTGAGGTCCTTAACCTCCTTCTCCAGCTCGGCTATCCGCCTCTTCGCTGCATCCAGATCGGCCTTGACCTGCAGACTGGTCGCCGCCTGAGGATACAGTATATCAGTGGCCAGTAGTTCATTTTGAGAAATCTCAAACGCGGCCGTATCTAGAGAAGAGGCGGCCCGAGCATTCACGGCTTTTACCTCTTTGGTCTTCTTGTTAAATGGTCTTTTAAAGCTGTTCACCCGCAGCATAGCCTGCATCCGGCAAAGGGGCAAAACATTAATATTGAGCGGCTCAAAGAGTTGCACAAAAAAGAAAAATTACAAGTTATTGCACCTTATCAAGGAGGGCAAGGATGACATCAAAGTTAAGGGAGCTGACTCCTTTGATAGACTCCCTGTCCTCGAGGGAGATGGCCATCAACATGGTCTTCGCTAGATGTTGAATATCCGGCCTTTGGGGGGCATCTGCACATTCAACACTTTGTAAGTAGTTGACGTAAAAAATCCGGCCATAAAACCGGGTGTTTTCAGAAGTGTTGGTCGACTGTTGATTGAACTTGACCCTACAAGGGTAGGGCAAGGGATTAAAACTTGTAATACCTCCCGCGTCCGCCTCATCTCTCTCTCTGGGGAACTTGCTTCCACCAGCAGCCGCCTTCTCTTTAAGGTCCTTGTTCCTACCGACCGCCTCCCAGTCTTTTAGGGGTTTGCTTCCCCCAGCTGCTGAGCCGATAGTAGCTTCAAGTGGACCCTTGCCACTCTTTGACGCTTTATGGGCGTCCGACTTCTGTAAGGCCTCGAGGCCTGCTGGAGATTTTCCCCCAGTTGAGGGGTGGTAGTAGATGAAATGTATTTTTTTTGGAATAATTAAAGTTATTTATTTTAAATTTATATTTATTGTTACCTTTGTTAAATTAAAGTATATATATAATAATACTAGTATGTTACATTTCACATTTGATATTAATTAAAATTATAAGTAATCTAAAACGACACTATTCACATTAATAATGTCGTTGGACTAGGCGATACAAACCGTTGTATAAACCTAAGTCGTTTAATTAGATCTACATTTGGTAATGTTTATTGTATTTATTTTAAATTTATATTTATTGTTACCTTTGTTAAATTAAAGTATATATATATAAATATATAATAATACTAGTATGTTACATTTGATATTAATTAAAATAACTAAGTAATCTAAAACGACATTAATAATACCGTTGGACTAGGTGATATAAACCTTTGTATAAACCTAAGCCGTTTGATCAGATCTACCTTTATTAACATTAATTGTATTTAGCCATTTAGGTTGTAAATAATTCAATTTGAATTAAGCAGTTTGTAATCGGATCAGTTTAAACAGGTTGCGATTCGAAAACAGTTCGATTTTAAGTTTTAACGGGTTATGGCAGTTCGGTTTAGACGGTTAGCGGATTATAACGGTTTGGGTTAAACAGTTTTTCCTGCGGTTTAAACGGTTTTGGTTCATAAACAGGTCAGTTTGAACGGTTAGCGAGTTACAAATGGTACGGTTTAAACCGTTTTTTCTACAGTTTAAACGGTTTCGGTTTATAAACGGTTCGGGTTAATAACGGGTTTATAAACCATTCGGTTCAGTTCCCTTTCTGTTCGGTTTTGAGCAGTTTGGTTTGTTATCGGTTTACGGTCCATAACGGGTTGACATTAAGCGGTTTGATTCGGTTTCGGTTTGATATTGTACGGTTCAGTTCGGTTTTCGGTTTAAATTTATTGGTTTATAAACGGTTTGGTCCGTGATGGTTCGGTTCGGTAACGGGCGGTTTCACGGTTCGGTTTGAATAGTCCCACCCCTACTTAAATGTATTCATATAAAGTATTGTATATTAATCTATTTCAATCAATACTTTTATGGGGTTAAATACAAATTTAAAAGTCGATTATAGTCAAGTGACATCAAAATAAACAACAAAGCAATTGAAAAAACAAGTCAACGAAACACAGCCTAAATCACAGCTGCACAACCTTACAAAAATCTATAAATATTTATAGTTATTCCATGTATTAATCAATCCTTGATTCCCTAATTTCCCTCACAATAAACAAATAACAGGAGAGTAAACAGAAACCATGTGTACAAAGAAAAAGAGGGAAATGAGATTGGGGCTTATTAATCTCATGATCTGTGTTTTTCTGGTAACATCTAATTTGGGGTTGACAGTAGCATTGACTAACAACTCTTCTCAAATTAAAAACATATGCGAGTTTCCGGCTATTTTCAACTTTGGTGATTCCAACTCCGACACCGGCGGCCTTACCGCGGTGTATGGCCAGGCACTTCCTCCCAATGGTCAAACCTTTTTTGGTAAACCTGTTGGTCGTTTCTGCGACGGCCGCCTCGTCATCGATTTTGTAGGTACTCTTTTATCTACAATCTTTTTCTTTTGTCCTTTTGCTAAAGATGCTGTTTATGATGGAATTGGCACATTATATGATGTTACAATTTCTTATGTCCGTTTTGCTCCCTCATTTCAGAATAAATGTATCACTTAACGTTACTAGCATTCTAGCAACTGCAAGACCATTGATAAATTAATGATCTATCAACACATTAATTAATACTCGTAGTAAAAAAGTCAAGATTGATGCACTTGTAGCCAGTAAATGTAAATTAAATTACGTATTTAGTACAAATAAGTCTTGATAGGTAAAGGTGTAAAGCACCTATAAAAGAATTAACCAACAAACATTTTTTACAGGCACATATATTAATGTAAAATTTTGACTAATAATATTTATTTAGGAAAATGGTGACCAATAATATGTTTAATTATCAATAAACAAAAATTATAATAATTGAATATTAATTAATTATTTATTTAGACAATTCCAATCAGAATCCATAGGGGATATTTTTCTTTTATATAAATCATTTACATTAGTTAGTGTGAATAAAGAGTGCAAAAAGTCAACATGTTTAACTTAAAAAAAAAAAAAAAGAGTAAAATTTAGGGCACATTAAACCGTGACACTTAAGAACAAATTAAAAATGACAACAAAGATATATTCCATATTATGATTGCATTAAAGTAAAATTAGTAAGGATTAATATAGGCTCTAAAGTGAAATTATGTCAAAATATTAATGCCACTAAAGTGAAATTGGCAGTCCTACCAGAGTACCAAATTATCCTAAGGTACACTATTTTACAATTACGTCAGACTCACCCCCGAAATTTTTGTTTTTAAGATTCTTAAAATTATTAAAATAAAGACCATAAGTTTACTTTTGTTTAACGAGTATTTTTTTTAGATACAAGTCTAACTTATTGGATTAGATTACAATTTTTAGTAATTTAGTTTTTATTATAAGAATTATTTGTCGTCAATGGGTCTTGCTTTACGGATTGGATTATAATTAGCATATCTTAATCTCCTTATTATCATATATTTTCAACATTGATAAATTACCAGATGATAAATTGGCCATTTTATTTGTTGTAAAATAACTCTTTTTACCAAGCAAGCTGATAGAAGAACGCCTAATTATCTGAATTTTCACTTGATACAGCTGAAAGTTTGGGATTACCGTATCTAAGTGCGTACCTAGACTCAATAGGGTCAAATTTTAGCCATGGAGCCAACTTCGCAACCGCGGGTTCAACGATTAGACCTCAAAACACCACAATAACTCAGAGCGGATATAGTCCCATCTCTTTGGACATCCAATATGCTGAATACTACAAATTTTACAAGGAGTCCCAAGTTGTTCGTAATCAAGGTAATCATCAATCGACAAAGTGTTTTGAACTTGTACCTTTTATCGTACATTTATGCTCCTAGTCGTGTCACATGCCTAAAGTTAGGCATGTGTATGCACATTCTACTTTGTTCATTGTTGAGTGTACCTTTCTTTAATTACACTTGAATTTACTTATGATTTGATTGGAGAAATCTTATTTTATGAAATGTCGATGTAGGAGGAGTTTTTGAGGAGCTGTTACCCAAAGAAGGTTACTTCACTCGTGCTCTATACACCTTCGATATCGGCCAAAATGACATCACTGCTGGTTACAAACTAAACTTGACTACAGAGCAGGTCAAGGCCAGCATACCTGATATTATTAATCAGTTCGCCAAAGTTGTAAGGGTAAGATAGCTATATACTTCTTTTCTCTAATATACTATCTCTTTTCACAAATTAAATCCGGGTTGGTTTACTAGCCGAATCAATCCTAGAAATGTCAAGCTCGACTCAACTCAACTCGACTTGTTGCACATTGATGTCCCTCCATCCCTAAACAAAGTTAACATGTCTTTGGTGTCTGCTGTAGGGTGTGTATGCACAAGGAGGAAGGTCATTCTGGATCCACAACACAGGTCCATTGGGCTGCCTACCATATATGTTGGACCACTTTCTCCTAACAGCGGCCCAAGTCGATGAATTCGGATGTGCAAGCCCATTGAATGAGGTTTCCCAGTACTACAATAGTCAGCTGGAGGATATTGTTACTCAGCTAAGGAGGGATTTGCCTTTGGCTTCAATCACATTTGTTGATATATATTCTATCAAACTTAAGCTCATTACCCAAGCCAAAAGACATGGTAAGCCTTTCAACAAAAAAAAAAAAAAAATTGAATAAACTTGTTAAGCCATTAATAATTTTTTTTTTGTACAGCTTGTTATTATGTGTTGCTTCACATTATATCTAGAAAAGGTTTGATTTTTAGTGTCAAAATTAAAGGTTTTATTCTTTCGTAGATGGGCTATATATAAGATTCCACAATTTATTGAAACAAAAATATCATATACGTAGTTTTTAGAAACAGACTTAGAACAAGGAATGTTGCGTACTGCTAGTTGTTAGCTATACTTGTGACTTTGTGAGTATTTTTGTCCCACATCAAAAAACTTCGAAGTAGACTATTCATTATTGTTAGTTTGTCACTAAGCTAGCTCACTACGTACTCATATTGTCAATTGAATTTAGGATGGATCTTTACTCGGTTATGTTCATGGAAATTTTATTCTTCCTTGTCTATCCTTCATCCTTGATAGAATTTTAAAACAACCCCAATCGAAAAAGGATACGATCTTCCAAAAAAGATATTGCTTGTTATTTAAGATTTCAACATAAGAATTTCGATAAATTCAACTTGTATATGAAACAATATTGTGTTGCAGGCTTTGAGAAACCTCTAGTAGCTTGTTGTGGCATTGGAGGAAAATACAACTTCAACAACACAATGAGATGCGGAAGCACAGAGATTGTAAATGGCAAAGAGATTTTGGTTGCGAAATCATGCGATAATCCATCCAAACGTATTATTTGGGATGGCATTCATTACACTGAGGCAGCTAATAAGTGGATAGTTGATCAAATTATGAAAGATTCCTCGTACACAAATCCATCTATTCCATTGGAAATGGCTTGTCAAAAGTTGAATTAAAGGGCTTAATGTGTATGCTCAAGTTTATGTGTGCTTATTTTTATGTCAAAGTTCATATGATTTTCAATTAAATTTAGATTGATTTAGTAGAACTTTAATCCACAACTTTAATAAGGTTGCGTAAAAAGAATTTAGATTGTGTTAATTATATGGTGCTTCAATAAATTGCCCCAATTGTTTACTCATATTGTTTGTGTGTTTTATATATTCCATACGTGGAGGTAATCATAGGTCGAGTCAGATTCCTATAAAAAAAATGAAAAATGAAATAGTGTCCATTATGATGGGCTAAAATATTATGCTATATCCAACAAAATAAGGCCAAAGTTAAAAGAGCTTAAAAATATGAAGCATCGGAATTGGCCTCATCAAGCCATGCCATTTTTGTTAAGTGTAGCTATACATTGACATTCTATGGAATTATAAGATTTTCATTTTAGCTAGAATTAAGTAAAATTACAATTATCTAATAAACTTGGTATCCAAAAAAAAAAAAAAAAAAAAAAAAACCTAGCCGTCCCCTCATCTCTCCTCTTCTCTTCTAGGGTCTATAATAATTAGGTTGTTTAGGTCGTAAATAGTCTAATTTTTTTGGAAATTAGACTGTTTTCGACCCTTTAATCTTGTTTTTCTATACCGTTGCATTTTAAGTTTTAATAAATCTACACAAGTAGTGTAGATTGATATTCGTCTGTCTCCCTATGGTGGAATCGTTAGTTTTTGTTAGTTTAATTGTTTGTTTTTCATTAGGGTTTATTTGTGTGCCAGGGCTTATAAAAAAAGTAATCATCCTTTGCCCTATTATCAGTTTGTGGGTTAACATTTGTTCGGGATTGTAACAGTGGTTGAATTCTCAAATGCATTCAAGCAAATCATATAATAATCATTCTTACGGCTACAACAAATCGTTAGACCATCTCTCCGAAAAGGCTACATTTTTCAGCGATGTGTGCTAGAGATGTACCACAGTGCAAGATCTTTTCAACGATCGTAGCTTTGATGAAGGAAACCTTTATTTGATTCTATTTTATGTAATTGTTAAATTAGATTTCATTTGTAGATGCCGGATGACTTTTTATTAATGAATTGATTTTGTTCAAGAAAAAAGTAAAACTACAATTGACGGATCCAAGGGCGGGCCTACCCAGGCCATGGCCCGCCCCATGCCTAGAGTTTTTAGTATTTATATCTATCTATACTTATATGTTAAAAAGCGTTCCTAAAAACGTTTAATTTATATACCACATGACACCCTCGCATGTCATCTTTTAAGTATGAGCATGTTTAATGAAAAATGTTTATTATGAGATTTGAACCCACAACCACTAAAATATGCATTAGAAGTCTTACCATCTCATCAATTGATTAATCATGCTTTTATACTCGACTCATATATATATATATATGAACATTTAATAGCTGCAATTTTTACAAAAATCGATTCTATTATTTGCTAATAATACTTATCAAGGTAATGCATAAAAGCAAATATTAACTATTGTTATAAATTAATTTTAGTTGTTTAATTATTTTGATAATAATTATATCTTTGTTTTCATTATATTACAAATTATATACAAAGGACATGTTTATATGATTAGTCAATAATTATTTTACAACTAATTTATTCTAAGGTTTTATGAAAAAACTATTATACATAAACAATGCAAATAATTAATAAAAAAATAATAATAAAGAATGAACCTATCTATTAAATTACAAGTGTACAAAGTAGTAACCCGAAGCATCGCCCGGGCTACTCACTAGTTACATACTAAATTTTTGTATTTGTAAAGCAATAGAAAGATAGCTAAGTTGGTCATTTATTGATATACTAGTGCAGCAAGTTAGGGTTTCAAATCCCACAACTTGTACTTTTGTTTGTGTTTTTTTTTTCTTTACAATAAAATATTATTCGTTTGACTTCATATTGCCCGTCCTATACAAAATTTTTAGATCCGTCTTTGATAATGGTGTATCAATAAGGTTTTGACACTTCCAATCATAAATTTACCTGGAATTAAGTAAATTTCCAATGGTGTATGGCGGCGTTATAAGGTTTTGACACCTCCATTCATAAATTTAGCTCAAACCAAGTAAAATTCCATGGTTTAGATCTCATCTCCTAAGTCCCAAACAACAAGTCAATAAGGTTTGAATTCTCAACTCTCCGATCCTAACCTTATGATTGGTGTTTTTGTATGCGGATTAATTAGAATTCTCCAATTTCTTAAGGATGACGGAATGTGCCTTTTATGACTATTTTAATAAATGTAAAAATTAAAAAATCATTTATGAGCGACTTGAAAATGAAATAACATAATGGTCGTAATCAAGTTATGATCCCAAATTAAAACTACCCAAATTCCTTATTAATTTAACTAGTGAACATATGACATCTTTTTATTTGTTTGAGCTTTCTATATCGTGGCATGCGCAATTGGTAGAGTTGTCAGTTTCTGATCCGAATCATATCGTTAAATGCGATTGTTTCGAACCGATCTGAAAAGCAACTGAACCGTTAGAAATCCATTTTTTGGAAACCGAAAACCGACTCGACTCAAGTTTTTCAAACCCGAAACTGAAGTGAACCGAATTTGTGCGAACCGTTACTAACCCGACCCGTTATCAAGCCAAACCGTTACAACCCAAAACTGACAACAACCCGAACCCATTTTAAACAGAAAACCGTTTACACCCGGAAAAAATACGATAAACTTGAACTGGTCTAACCCATAACCCGTTGTGACTGAACCATTTATAACTTGTAACCCGTTGTGATCGAACCGTTTCCAACCCAGAACCCGTTGAGACCGAACTGTTTACGACCCATAACCCATTGAGATTGAACCATTTATGACCAGTAACCTGTTATGACTGAGTCGTTTACAACCCGTAACTTAATATGTTTATGGTTTGATCCTTTTCAACCCAATACTCGATAAACCTAACTTATTTATGACTTAACTTGATTATAACATGAGCCGTTCCTACCCATTATCTGACTAACTCGATTCGATAATGATCCGACTCGATTTTAACCCAATATGATTTGGACTGAAACCAGCTTTAATTGGGTAAACCTGTTTTTAAACCGACCAAGTTCAATCCAAACTGATTATGACCTGAACCGATAATGACCGTAGCCGATTTCAACCGATCTGTTTTGAACCGAAACCCATTTTCAAACTGACCCAATTTAACCCAAACTGATTATGACCCGAATCGATTACAACCCAATCCGATTAGGACTCGAACTGTTTTTGAATCGAAACCCACTTTAAAGTGGCTAAACCTGTTTTCAAACTGACCCAATTCAACCCAAACTGATTATGACCTAAACCAACTACAACCTGACCCGATTGGGACCTGACCCGAATAATAATCGCAATAAAAAAAAAAAACCAAATTGAACTGACCCGATGATTTTCAAAACCGGCCTAAACCAACCCGCTAATCTTTTCAACTTGTTATAAATCGATCCGTTATAACCCGAAACTGATAAACTCAACCCAAAACCGAACTATTTATCCGAATTGATACCCTCACAATTGAACATACTTTTGTTACATTATGATGTTACATTCAATCAAAATGGTGAAAAAAAAAATATGCTTTGTAGCTACTTTAGACCCATCCATTTCCTTGAAATTAGCTAATCATAAATTTAAAAGTTGGACCATCCCACCCTTAGTCGTCCTAGTCCTAGACTCCTAGTCCTAAAAATTAAAATATGCTCTAATTTCATTAAATTACCCAATCTTCTTTCTTTTTGTGGGCTTCTTTCACCATTACTAGAAACCTTTTACAAAGCCTTTTAGCTTTTTTTAGGTAAATCACTCTCGTGTTCATTTGACTATATTTGACCTCTTTTCTGGTATTGTGTCCCCCGTTATCCTCATCAATTATCTCCTAACTTTTTCCTTCATCTTTCACATGTTTTGGTGGGCTCTCATTGTTTAGATTTTTTTTATTTTTATTTTTATTTTTTTATTTTTTTATTTTTTTTTGGGGTTAATTAGGCTAGTATTATACAGAGGCACAAAGTTAAATAGATTAGTCGAGAACAATAATATAGTTGTAAATATGTAATGATGGTGGGTAAATGGGTAATACTCAATATATTCTTACTTTGACAGAATTTGATTTCTTGATGAAAAAGCCTTTCACCATTTATCAAATTAGCCTAGGTATGAGATGACTTGTTAATTACCACAGATGGAATAAAAGAATCTTTAGACTTTAATTGATCCCTCAATTTAGTCAATTTCATCAAGCTAGCCTAGGTATAGGATGACTTGTTATATATGTTGTCCTAAAATTAATGACTAGGTATCATTCATACTTTTAAGGTTCGAACATCTAAATATCATTTAACACTATGATTTCTTGTTTAGTCGAATTGATCTATTGTATAGAAATTGAAAAGGTAACTTTTTTTTCTTAGTTTAGAGGGTAAATATCAGGCAAAAAAACTAAGATACTAATAATATCAAGCTCCAACAAATATATAACAGAAGAATGCGCACACAAAAACACTCATTTATTAGCATATTCTTGTATATGATAATATAGGAGAAGGTTATAATTCAATACACCAAAACGGATGGAATTTTGCACAAAAATTTCTTATGAAATGAAATTATTCAAGACACAAAAATACTCTTTATATATGCCCATAAATACATAAATATATTGGTCCCATCCTTATATTTATTCAGTCCCATATTGTCACAACTCTTACAAACGTGAGCTCCCTTTCTTAATGTGGCTCCTTTTAATAATTCCATGTGATATGACCAACCTTTGTCCCCTTTCTTCAAATCTTACCATAACTACATCCATGAAAATACTTCCAAAATCTTTGATGCTCATACTATGATACATACATAATCATGATATCATCATCATCATCATGTACATGCATCATTCAACTTTCCAAGCATAAAGAAACAATTTAAACTCTGGTGATCCATTACTACTCCAATCATCCTCCCTACACGCAGGATCATCTGCATGAAATGATAACGACGACAACGACGACGATGGTGGTGTTGCCGATGACTTGAACAAGAACATAGCATGTCTAGGACCGGACCCGAAAATCCAATCATGAACATCCCAATACACTTCTAGTTTAGCCTCCTTAACATCAATCGATTCATTCCCTCTAAACTTCCATTGTAGATGTTTAACTTGAGTAGCTAACTTCCCATCAATTTTAATATCCATTTCATGACTACTAATCCCTTCTAAATCACCCTTAATATTATTGTTACACTCAACAGAAATTTCATGACATTTGCCTCTTTCATGAAATTTAACCTTAGTTGAAAACCTTTTCTTACCAAAAATGTGCTCTTTCCTAGAGACTAATAGAGGATCAATAAGAGCTGGCCTACACCCGGTTCTTCGGAACGCGTCCTTCTTCATGTCTCCGACGACTAGAACCACCTCCTCCTCGGACACTATCGCGACGTAGTAGTCCGATTGAGGCTCAACCTCACCATTGAACTTGGCAGCCTTAAGATCCCAAACAATACCTATGATTTTACCATCTACCACAAATTGTTTGCACCCTTGTTTCCTCCAAAAGTACCAAGGCTTAAGCTCAACCTTGCTATGATAATGGTCATGACCTTGAGGCCCGTCCACGGACACGGAGAGGCCGTGTAGGAGGAGATTCTTGCACCATGTAATGGTGACCAATCGCGGTTGGCTAGCAATCTTAGTCCTATACACGGACATGATCAGACTCTGGGGTGACCCCGAGGCTGATCGTATTATGCCCGTGTTGGTGTTGGTGTTGGTGGTGGCCAAGGTTGACGGTGTCGCGCACACCCGTGCAGGTGAAAGATCATGCTCAATAGGGGATGATGAAAAACATGTTGGGATGCTAATAGGCTCATGCATCATTTTTTAATTTCGATCACACTAATTATAAACAATGCAAAGTGATCATATAAAAGGGTTTAACAAAAGAGAATATATGTATGTTAATATGTAGTATTTATAATATAAAGATTTATATTTAGAAAGGGGGGAAGAAAAGTGTAACGCTAATCAATCTTACCAGCAAGATGTTATCCTAGATGCTGCCAAAAGGATATGATCATGGCCTCAATTGGCAAGGTATGATATACGGAGTAGACATCAGTTATCATAACAAACCTTCTCTTTTTTATTTTCGTTGTTCGAGGTCGATTTTGGTTTTTTAAATAATAGTCCGACTAATTGCCTAATAGGCGGATAGGTAGAATATAAATGGAAGAAGTGTCGAGATTACCCTTTATCTAATTTATCTAAAGTTCGGATATTATTTGATCACATTATTGAAAACATCAATTAGATCTTATCTTGTGTCAGTTGTCTAACAAATTAATTATGCGAATATGGAGTATAATTTTTTATGTGTAAAATGGGAATCATGATTTCATCAATTTTTGACGTTTCATTTGTTCCCCTTTTTCATGTAAGTAGAGAGGAAACACATCCCTTTTTCACCGAGATGTAAAGTTTGCAATTTCTATGTACAAAACCCAAAAAGCAGGGGAAAGAAAGTAAGAGGTGGGAGAGGTTTTAAGCAAGAGAACATGTGATGTTGGGGCAATAGACCAAGGTATAATAATTCAATATGAATTGTATTGTTTGGATTAATAAAGTTGGCTTTAATGATGTTATCTTAATTTTTAATTATTTGATTCATGTAAAGGAGAGTTTTGTTCATCTAAATGAGGGATTTTGTCCAACTTATAATAGTTCTTTGGCAATTTAGTTAAGAACTTATAGGGATCACATATAGGCATAACAAGATCTATTCTTGTAACTTTCAATTTCTCATCTAGCCAATTATTTCAAGAAAATTGTGAAATGGACTTGATCCCAAGCTTATCATAGTGATTGATGCATCCAGTGAATCCTGGAAGACAAGAGGTAAGACCGTAAGATGTGATCAATGTATGTTGATATTACCCTTAATGGTTACAATTGACTATTGAAAAAAATATTGCTCAGATATTATTCCTAATATATACTCTGTAAAAAAAAAATGTTCATTTTATTATTAATTATTAATAAGTACTAAAAATTGTTGGTTATCTACAATAACTATATAATATAGGAGAAAGCAAGAATGACACGTATCATCTCCTGATTATAAATTTTCCCTCCATATACATATACATATATACATATATACATATATATACATATATATATATATATATATATATATATATATATATATATTTGCCAAACCTTCCTAGCTAATATCTAAAAATATCCAATTATATTTCCCTTCTTATATGATAAGTATATATACACATCCCACAACTATATATTATTCTTCTATTTAATACATACTATACAATAATATTTTTCAATCTAAAACTTTGTGATACAATCCATAATTATTTATATTTGTCGTGCATGCAATATTCCCTAATTTTAAATTAGTAGTATTTCTTTAATTTGATATGTTTTTCTATTTGTTTTGTAATAACAAAATTTTCATCTTATTTTGCAATTAGATATACTACTAAATTTTTATGAATAAATATAATGCAAACAAATAATAATTAGTGCAAGTTATCGTGCATGAGAATAGGTTAGTAATGGCATATATATATATATATATATATATATATATATATATATATATATAGAGAGAGAGAGAGAGAGAGAGAGAGAGAGAGAGAGAGAGAGAGAGAGAGAGAGAGAGAGAGAGAGAGAGAGAGAGAGAGAGAGAGAGAGAGAGAGAGAGAGAGAGAGAGAGAGAGAGAGAGAGAGAGAGAGGAGACTCATATAAGAACCCTCCTCTATATAAGAACCCATTCATATATAAGAATTAATCTACACCGTGAGATTAGAATTGATCTGACCGCTCAAAATCAATAGGTTAGTAATGTCATTTTTGTAATTTTTGCTGCACACTTTCCCTTCCTTTCTCCTCATTCACGGTTTCTTTCCCCTTTCTTTCTCTCTCTAGAATTACATCAAACAGCTCACTCTCCTCTCATAATTTTGGGTGCCTTCAAGAAATTAAGGTTTTTGTTCAATTCTTATGATTCAATTCTTTCTATTCATTCCATTCTCATGATTTTTGTTGCGTTTTTTTGGCTTTTTTTTTATGCGATTTTTTGCTGCGATTTTGATGCTTTTTGTCTCAAGTTTTTTTTTCCTGATTTTTGTGATTTCTATGCTCGATTTTGTTTATTATATGTTCGATTTTATGCGATTTTTGAGCGATTTTTTTTTATCGAATTTATGCGATTTCATGAGCGAATTTCAGAGCGATAATACTCCATATAAATCCAAAAATTAGGAAAATCTTCTATAAAAAAAATTCATAGTTAGTAACTAGTATTTTTTTTTTTTAAATAAAGTTAGTAAGTAGTAAGTATTGATTAATAATGTGTATTAAATAATCGATACTTCGATAATGAATAAATATTTTAGTGTCCACAAACATCATTTAGCATTGCAACAACCCAACAGCTGATTTTACGAGAAATCTTAATACAAAAATCTAATCTAATATATATAAATAAAGTAGGCATTTTTGGAGAGAATTTAGAGCGCCACGTAAGAAATATACTTATTTCGACCAATAAGAAAGATTTGTATTTTATTTTGAATTAAAAAATTATGTCACCACCTAGATAAAAGTGACGAATTAGATTTGATATATCTAAAATTTTAATGCCACGTAGATTATAATCCACAAATTAAATTATTATAATGAAAAAAATAAAGTAAAAATATAGGAAAAGATAAATTTATTAATTCAATACTACGAGTATAAGAAATCCAAAAAATATACTAATAAATATTTAAATGATAAACGCTTATAAAAAATTTTGATACCTATCATTATAAGATAAATTTTGATAGTATTTATGATAAGAAATACAAATTATTCGTTAATTATAATTAAATTAAAATTTGTGATACCTACCATTATAAATTGACACATCATACGACACAAACAAAATTTCGTATCAATAAAAAATCCCGTCAAGCATATTTTGTGTTAGTAATTTTGTGTTAATTTTTGGTCATCAATGGCCGGGTAATCTTTAGCTTAATTTTTAAAATTCTATGTTTAAATTAGTATTTCTAATTATTACTTACATTGCATTAATTTGAGATACTCAACGATTATATGTTTATGTTTTATTTACTAAATATTTTTTTACATGCAGATTTAACACATCATACGACACAAATAAAATTTCGTATCAATACAAAACCCCATCAAGCAAATTTTGTGTTAGTAATTTTATGTTAGTTTTAGGTCATCAATGTCCGGGTAATTTTTAAAATCTTATGTTTAAATTTATATTTGTAATTATTAGTTACATTGTATTTATTTAGGATACTTAACGATTATTTGTTTATGTAATGACATACGATTAGATGTCGTATACTTAATATATGGATGGCTTTGGTTATTTTTGGTGATGATGAAAAAATTCCAGTGCATAGATTTGATTTTATATCACAACAATTTTCATTTATTGGTAAATATGTTGATTTATTTTATATAAATGTAAAGATTTAATTTATATCAATTTTAGTTTTGGCTAACATTTCACGGTTTAACTTATCCATGATGTAGTAGGTTGGTTGTGGACGAGGTTGGTGATTCTATCGAAATAAAAGATATGGTAAAACAATGAATAATGATTTAGGATTTAAATTATTATAAATTTATCATTTCACATTAAATATTTTATATAACAGAAAATATATCATATTTACAATTTATTTATATTTAATAAATTCATTATAAATTATAGTAAAAAAAAATAAATATTAAACTTTTGTAATTTTGTCTGAAATTATTAAATACAATAAATCAAATAATTAAAAATCTTAGATGAAAAAACCGTGCATCGCACGGGCTTCCATCTAGTAATATATACAACTAGCTAGTAACACTTATTGCTAATACAGACAACCAACACTTACTGTTATTTTCTCTCTGTAATTTCTTTTTCAACAATATGAGAAAATAGTTCTCTGATTTTGTTCTTTATTTCTAATTGCTTTTTCATCAATTATGAGAAAATCAATTGTCTATATTTTGCAATGTGTTGACAGTGGCTGAGACAGTGAGACCATGGTTATGAGCTTAACGACCAGAAAAGATGGAAGCCTCACACCGTAAAAACAATCCTCATTACGTATACCACTATAAGATATAAGATATAAGAGGACGATTTAGGTGTGAATTTCGCCCTAATAAGCAAAGAGGGCAATTTTAATATCACCCTCAAGTTGCCCTATTAGTTTCGTCCTTGTAGCTTCAAAGGGCAACTACAATCTTTCGTCTTCTTTGTTAAAGATCAAAGAAGGTAATAAAGTTCGCCTTCTTTGATCAGAGCCAAAGAAGGCAAATAATTTCGCCCTCTTTGATCAGAATCAGAGAGGGCAAAATACATTTCGGCCTCTTTGATTAGAATCAAATAAGGCAACAAATTTCGCCCTCTTTGATTAGAGTCAAAAAGGGCAAATACATTTCATCGCCCTATAAAATACAACTTAAATAGGCTAACATATTCGCCCTTCTGGTTCAAATTTCGCCCTCTTTATTCAAAATTTAAAAGGACAACATTTAAACTCGCCTTCTTTGTTTTTTATTTTGTTTTTAAAAAAAAAAAATTTTTTTGGAGGGTATCATAAGAAGAAGGAATTTAATATAATTTCTAGTTGTCATTAATCATAATTTTGAATAGTTAATATGCAACATATAATATACTAAGCCAATAACAATAAATTGTATGCACAAGCTTCATAGCTACAAAATCAATTAATTGCTTTTGAAAGTCTAAGTGCTCTACAATGTCAAACAACTCAAGTCCCTCAAAGCTTAATTGCTGAAGTAGTACATACTTCCTAAAAGCATCCCTCAAAGCTTGAGCACCAAACAATCTGAAAAACACAACCATAACAAACATCAGATCAAAGCTCAGACCTAGCAGATGCAGAAAATGATATAAGATGAAAAAAAGCCAGCAAAGAACAACGTTGTTTCTTAAATACGATAAACCAAAGATGGCGATGACCATAAACCAAAATTGCTCAAAGGCACAGAACAAAGCTTGCTCTAACTCCTCTTAAGGCACAGAGACATAGGGTCATCAAGGCAGAAGACAAATTATTGAATACACCTCGTCTGCTCCTGAACAGCGACCTGATATAAAATCTCTGCTAACTTCACTAAAAAAACTTAAGGTACAGCAGAGTCGTCAAGATTGACAATATTGCCCAAAGATTGGGGTATGAAATGATACAGTTATTTCTTTTTTTTCTTCTTGGATAAAGAAAACAAAGAAATAACAGGAAGCATAGATCCTAACGGGATTATATATAAATCCAAAGTTGACCACCAAACCACCCACTCCCGCAACCACGACCCACCACTGACCCAACCATCACTTGATGAATAAAGAACTTTATGATAACACAGTATATTACGATACACTTAAGATCAACACCTTATAATACCATACACAAGACTGACAAAGCGTTCATTACTTGAGGTGTTCAATAGTGATAGTACCAACATTATTTTGGTTTATTCTGTTTAAATGAAATGCTGCAACTATGTCTAGGCAGGCAGATATTTATGCATTGATACAAACAAGCATATATTCACTATGCAATTAGTTAGAAAATATTACCTCTATCAAGCATCAAGGCCAATCTTCTCCATGACTAACCGAAGCTTTTGTTCAGTCTTCTTGTTTCTTCTTAGACGCTTCCAATTCAGCTCGCATCATATTATTTTCATTTTGTAGTTGTTCAACATATTGTTCCAACTCAGCTCTTCCTATCTTTCCATCTTTAGACGACACCGGGTGCCCTTTGCCTAAACCTCGGGCATAACCTGAACGATGTGCAAGAACCTTCTCATAAGCTTCTGCAAGAGTAAGATTATCAACCCCCTTTTCACCAATTTCTTTCTCATGCAAGACTAATTATGCATGTTCTGCTGACTTATAAATATCAGGACTCTAAATCAAACAAGCAGCATAAATCATTACAAATAGATTGAGTTAGGTGGTACTTTTTAGTGATATGAACCTTTTACAGCACACTAATGATCAGAAATGTTAACTATTGTCCTGTCAACAATAGTTGTAATTTCAAAAGACCAGAAAATAAGCATATACTTCAGCAAGGCAGCATATTATTCAGCATATTCTAGCTTTTGGATTTTGTGGCAAGTCGAGTTACTTCATATTCAAGACAAAACCTTTCTGACTTTCTGTTTTCTATTGTGTATGCATATCATTTTTATCGAAAAAGAGTGATTTGCAAGATTATATACCTTAATCCTTGCATATAATCGATCTAAAATCTCTTCACGCATATCACTCCGTTTAGTAACGTTAAGGGGGCAAATCTCCTTCACCCAATCAGCACACTCAGCAACAAGTTGATTTGCACGCTCACTCATAACAGCTCCTAATGTTGGAGGAATATTAACCTTGAGCTTTCCGGGTTGAATGCTTCGCAACTTTTTATACTTGAGTGCTCTACTTGGACCACGAAAGGGACCTAAGAAAATACATTACGCAAATCAGCAAGAAAGTAAATGAACACAAGGAAATAAACAAAACACTTAAGCTAACATATCTACCTTGTCTTTTCTTCTTAGGTTGTTGAGAGGTAGACCCTAGAAATTCATCATTATTATTATTAGAATCTAATTGCGATAACGACGATTGAGTCTCCTGATTCATTGTTCTTCCTCCTATAACAAACAAAAATCTGATTGATTTCTTGAACACATAACAGAAACTATAAAAATTTAATAAAAAAACAGAAACAAAAGATAAAAAATAGAACAATACATAGAAATTGAATAAAAAACAGAAACAAAAAAAAAAGAAACTGAAAATAAAAGAACAAAGAAAGAATAAAAAAAACAAAAACAGAAAGTAAAAGAACAGAAACAGAATAAAAAAAAAACAGAAACAGAATAAAAACAGAAACAGAAACAGAAAATAAAAGAACAGAAACAGAATAAAAAAACAAAAACAGAAAATAAAAGAACAGAAACAGAAAATAAAACAACCAGGATTTGCGCTCATCCAAACAGTGTTACAAAATGAAAACTTTGATCCCTCGAAGCTCTTAACTCCAGCAGAAGGACTACTCAAGGGATGGCGTAAGACCGTGAAGGTGACTACACCAAGTGGAAGAAAGATATCCATAATCATTGGAGAAGGACCCATGTTTGATGAGTCAGAGTCAGAGTCAGAGTCTGAATCTTCATCTTCTATTAATAAGTCTCCTAAATCCTTAGCAGTTGTACCTTCTTCTATCCCACCTAGCTTAACACCTACTCCTAGAATAGTTAGTAGTCAGGTCCCGTTAGACCTATCTCTTTTTGATGTAATGATTCAAGAATTTAATAATATGTCTTCTTCCTCTTACTCCTCGTGCTTTTCCCTTACCCAAGATGACGAGTATTGCTTTGCTAACTATGAAAATGACAACAAAATAATTAAAGCAATGGAAAGACTTGAGAATAAAACAACAATAATTGAAGAAACTGAAACAATTAACATCTTAACGGATCCTACCATTAAGAGAGAAGTAAATATTGGCTTAACTCTAAATCAAGAGGAAAGAACTCAATTAATTAGTCTACTTAAAGAATTCATCGATGTTTTCGCTTGGACATATGAAGATATGACAGGAATAAATAGAGAAATTGCTCAACACAATATACCACTAATTCCAGGAATGAAACCTGTAAAACAAAAGTTGCGTCAAATGAAACCCGACGTAGCCCTTAAAATAAAAGAAGTTCAAAAACAAATAACTGCAGGTTTTATCAAGGTATCCAAATATCCAGAATGGGTCGCCAACGTGGTACCAGTTCCTAAGAAAGATGGTAAAGTAAGAATGTGTGTCGACTATAGAGATTTCAATAAGGCAAGTCCAAAGGACGACTTCCCCTTACCACACATCAACATCTTAGTGGATAATACAACCAATCATGCGCTTCTCTCGTTTATGAATGGGTACGCGGGTTACAATTAAATTCTCATGGCGGAAGAAGACATGGAGAAAACAACCTTTATAACACCATGGGGCACTTACTGTTACACAGTGATGCCATTCGAGTTGAAAAACGCGGGTGCCATTTACCAAAGAGCAGCGACTGCCTTACTTCATGACATGATGCATAAAGAAGTTAAGGTATATGTGGACGATATGATTGTGAAATCTAAGGATCGCCCTGGACATCAAGTAGCCTTGAGAAAATTCTTCGAAAGGCTTCATGAGGTTAAACCCAAGCAAGTGTGCATTTGGAGTCACCTTAGGGAAACTCTTAGGCTATGTCATTAGCTCTAGAGGAATAGAGATAGATCCCACCAAGATCAAATCAATCATTTCAATTCCACCGCCCAAGACCGAGAAACAAATTCGAGGATTCATTGGTCGGTTGCAATACATAAGTAGGTTCATATCAAAGCTTACCACAATATGTGAACCAATATTCAAGAAACTTAAAAAGAATGTACCAGTGATATGGGATGACAAGTTCCAGGAAGCCTTTGATAAAATCAAAGCCTATCTTGCGAATCCTCCTATATTAGCACCAGCACTTACATGCATTCCTCTTTACCTATACTTAACAGTCACCAAAGAAACAATGGGAGCCATGCTCGCATAAGGAGTAGAAGGAAAATAAAATTCCATTTACTACCTAAGTAAGAAAATTCTCAAGTATGAAGTGCGCTACACACCGCTTGAAAAGTTGTGCCTCGCACTCGTATGGGCCACAACCAAGTTAAGGCATCATATTCTCGTACATACAGTCTATGTGGTATCCCGAATGGATCCCCTCAAGTACCTCTTTGAGAAATCCACACTCAATGGACGAATATCGAGATGGATAGTGAATCCAGCTTAATTTGACGTAAGGTACATGCCTCAAAAGGCCATCAAAGGAGCTGTGGTTTCTGATTTCCTAGCTGACTTTCCAATTGAAGATTCAATACCAGTACAAGAGAATGGCTTCCGGATGAAGACTTAATGGTTACAGAAGATGACACTTGGATATTATACTTCGATGGAACCTCAAACCAGAAAGGATGTGGTGTAGGGGTTCTATTGGTGTCACCTAAAGAAGAACATGTCCTAATCTCAATCAAGCTTGACTTCGACGTTACCAACAATGCTGCGAAATATGAAGCATGTGTGGTAGGCCTCGAAACAGCCTTGGCATTGGGAGTAATGAAACTTCGAATATTCGGAGATTTTTCCCTTATCATCAGCCAAATCTCCAAAAGATGGAAATTAAGGAGTGAAAGCTTAGCTTCCTACCAAACTTATTTACAAACCCTCACTAATCAACTTGAAAAGGTATAATACATATAACTACCAATAGAAGAAAACCAATTCACGGATGTCTTGGCAAGACTAGCCTCAATGGTTAGGATTCCTAAGGAAATCGAGCAAATGCCTTTAACTATAGAGAAAAGGCATAAACCAGCTTACATTCAAGCTATTGAGGATGGAGAAGTATACCAAGAAGAAGAAGAGGAAGAACCTTGGTATACGGACATCCTCAACTATGTCACCAAAGGCGAATATCCACTTAATGCTGACAAAAGAGCGAAACGTTCCTTAAGACTTTTGACATCACAATTCGTGCTCATAAACGACGAATTACATAAAAAAAAAGTACCTAAAGGAAGAGCTCTCCTATGAGTAGGCAAAAAGGAAGCTCAAAGAGCAATGAGAATAATTCACGAAGAAGCATGTGGGACACACATGAACGGCAAAATGCTAGCCCTAAAAGTAATGCGCCAAGGATATTACTGGACTACCATGAATAGAGATTGCCAGTAATACGTGAAAAGATGCCCAAAGTGCCAAATATATGCTAACATATAACATGTTCCACCGTCTCTTCCTTACACTTACACATCCCCATGGCCATTCTCAACTTGGGGAATAGATATCATTGGAAAAATCACTCCCCCTGGGACAGGAGGTCACGAATACATCCTCATTGCTATTGATTATTTTACCAAATGGGTTTAAGCAGCGTCTTACGTAAAAATCACCGCAAAACATGTAGCACTTTTTAACGAAAGAAACATCATATGTATATATGGAGTCCCACATGAAATGATAAGTGACAATGGAACTCACTTTCAAGCTGAGTGTGAAGAATTACTTCAAAAGTACGAGATTCAACATCACCACTCTTCCCCATATAGACCTCAAGCGAATGGCGCAGTAGAAGCAACCAATAAGAATTTAAAGACGATCATTGAAAATATGACAGAAAATTACATGGACTGGCCTGATAAACTCCACTTTTCTCTTTGGGGTTATCGCACGTCAATTCGCTCATCCACAGGAAATACGCCATTCTCTCTAGTCTATGGAATGGACGCCGTACAACATGTAGAACTGGAAATACCTTCCTTACGCATAGCATTGGAAAGTAAACTTGATGTGGTCGAATGGACAAGAACAAGGTATGAAGAGCTAATTCTACTCGATGAGAAACGACTTGAAGATTTACATCATACATTCATACCCAATGCTACCAAACTCGCATGGCTAGACACTTTGATAAGAAGGTCAAGACAAGAAACATCAAAGTAGGAGACTTGGTGTTAAAAATACTTAGAAAGAATGTTCTAGATCCAAGAGGCAAGTTTAGGCCTAATTGATCTGGACCATACATTGTCAAAACTATCCTATCTTGAGGCGCCGCTAAGTTAACAGATATGGATGGGAATGACTTTTCGAACATAACAAATCTTGACCAACTTAAGAAGTTCTACCCATGATTTAATTGAGTATCATACTCAAGAGAGCTACGTTTGGCCTGATTCCTTAGCAAGGATACGTAGGCAACCCTTTACAGGGTGCGGCCACTTTAATTTTTCAAAATCTCGCATTTTTACGACAACACGTCAACTCGGCATGGCAAAAATCAAGCGTCGCACCAGATGAAGAACCATCGCACCGTGATGTTACCATCGCGCTGCGACAAACACATCGCGCTACGATGGGAATATCGCGCCATGATGGAATCGGGTTTTCGCTGCTTTTGAAATTTTGAATAACTGGAATAGTTTCAGCTAATTTCGAGAATTTTTCGACTTCCGTACTCGAATTATTTTCAAAATTACTCAAGTTGTTTTCATTGCTTATAATTATTTTCGATAATTAAATAATCGAAGACAAAAGTTAATAAAAGTTGAAAATTGCATTGATGATTAAATAAAATAAAATTACATTATTGATGAATTTAAAAAGCTTAAATAAAATTGACTTAAAATAAAAAAATTTCTAATAAATTGAAAGTAAAGTGATGCTCTAATCCTTTTTCTCTTTCCTAGCCCTTTTCCAATTCTTGTCTGCATCTTCCTCATCGTCTAGCTCCTTTACCAATATGGAACCTTTAGATGATCTAACCGCAACCTTAGAAGAAATAGTTTCTCCTTTAGCAAAAACACCAACTTTCTTTTCAAATCAAATCTTCTTAGGGTTAGCTTTCCTTTTTTCTACAACACTCTTTTTCTTAGGCATGATAGGAGCCTTGAATTCAACTCTTAAACCCAGACGATCTTTAGGAGGTACTTTCTTATCACTTAAGCGGTCTTTAACACTTGTCTTCTCCACACTCTTAGAAATTGTGTTTCGAACTTTGTTCTTGTCCTTTTGAGTTCTACCAAGTAACCATTGCTTAAATTCCCTAGACAAGGGAGGAGGAATTCTATTGGAGACAACTTCCCACGAGGGTCTAGTGCACCAATAGTCATCAAATCTTTCCACATTCTGCGATACAGGATACTCATAGGGTCGATGAAGATCTCTAAAAGGAATGGTTTGAGT